GTACTTCCCTTACACCTGACCCCAGGCAGTACTTCCCTTACACCTGACCCCAGGCAATACTTCCCTTACACCTGACTTCAGGCAGTACTTCCCTTACACCTGACCCCAGGCAGTACTTCCCTTACACCTGACCCCAGGCAATACTTCCCTTACACCTGACTTCAGGCAGTACTTCCCTTACACCTGACCCCAGGCAGTACTTCCTTTACACCTGACCCCAGGCAGTACTTCCCTTACACCTGACCCCAGGCAATACTTCCCTTACACCTGACTTCAGGCAGTACTTCCCTTACACCTGACCCCAGGCAGTACTTCCCTTACACCTGACTTCAGGCAATACTTACCTTACACCTGACCCCAGGCAGTACTTCCCTTACACCTGACTCCAGGCAGTACTTCCCTTACACCTGACCCCAGGCAATACTTCCCTTACACCTGACTTCAGGCAGTACTTCCCTTACACCTGACCCCAGGCAGTACTTCCTTTACACCTGACCCCAGGCAATACTTCCCTTACACCTGACTTCAGGCAGTACTTCCCTTACACCTGACCCCAGGCAGTACTTCCCTTACACCTTACACCAGGCAGTACTTCCCTTACACCTGACCCCAGGCAATACTTCCTTTACAGTAGTTGGGGGTTTGATGCAACCATCACACCTGACCCCCAGGCAGAACACCCTTCAGAGTAGTGGGTAATGAGCACTCCCATGAATGATTATCTTCTGTACTAGCTTCATTCTTTAATTATCTTGAGAATATCTATTGTAGCCCCTTACCCAAACATAGCTTGAAGTTTGATAGAAAAGTTTCCTTTAGCATCAAACTGCAGTGCAACCTCAATTACATAAACTATATGGGAACTGTATGGGAACCACTTGATTCCTTGGAATGAGGTAATAGTTGCAACTGGTGATGCCTTCTAGAGGCATTTGTGAAATGCAATTATTTTAAGACAAAAATATATTGCTTCAGCCGTTTCTTCTAATGTTCCTTTCATATTCACAAATCATTAAAATGTAATTGAAGCCATATTAAATTCGTTACAATTCATATCCTAATATTTTCCCATGATCTATGGGCTAATTTCACAAAGAAAATTTATATTTTAAACCTGTCATATAAAGGACAACTCCTTTGAGAACCTGTCAGTAAAAAGATTCCACCACATTTCCCACACACCATGACCTTCTGTTAGGCAAGGAAGTATGCAGAATTAGGAATTAGAATTGGTTAAACAGAAGTTCTCAAGAGGGCCAGAGACCAAAAGACACAAAACCTAAGTCAATACAGGAAGAGGCCAAATCCTCAAACATGCCAGCAATACAGAGAAGCAAGAAACAACTATACAGCATTGAGAAGAGAGGCAGAAATTAATTTTGAGAGAGAGAGATAGCAGACAAATGTAAAATAGAACCAGGCCTATTCCATGAATTCATTAAAAACACACTGCAGGTAAAGGATAAACTTCATTGGTTGAAAATGGGAAACAGATTCACAGAAAATTAAAAGGAAATGAGTGAAACATTAAAATAACAGTTCCAAAGAGTGTTCGGGCAAAATTAAATTTTTAGAGAACTAGACAATAAGAATTCCAGAGAACATCATAAAGCACATACAGGAGTCTAGAGATGAAGTGGAAAAAATGCTCAAGAAAATAGGAACAAAGCAGTCAATCTAGATGGAGTTTCACCTTGAATTCTGAGGAATCCTGCCAGATATATGGAAAAAGGCTAACATATATCCAATCTACAAAAGTGGTAGCAAGGAAGACCCTCTTAATTATAGACCTGTATCACTGACAAGTGTGGTAGCCAAAATATTGGAAAAACAAAAAATAATAAAACAAAATGGGTAGAACACCTTGAGAAAAATTATATGACTGACAGACAGACAGTATGCTTTTCGATCTCTAAGCTCCTGTGTAACGAATTTACTTTGTTTCTATGACAGGGATACAGAGATTTTACATGAAAAAGATGATGCATGTACTCTATCTGGAATAATGATAATAAAAAAAAACAAAAAAAGGCTTTTGAAAGTCCCATATATGAGGTTCTGGAAACTGGAACATACTGGAAGAGTAACAGGGAGGCTTCTAACATAGATGAAAAATTTCTAACAAAAATGAGGGCAGTAATCAGAGGCAGTGTATCGGACTAGAGAAATATCACAAGTGGAGTACCATCATAGATTTAAACTAACTAAACAAAGCTGCCGAAGAAATATAAGAAAATTCACTTTCGCAAACAGAATGGTAGACGGTTAGAACAAGTTAGGCAAGAAGGTGACAGAAGCCAAAACAGTCAGTAATTTCAAAGTGTTATATGACAAAGAGTGCTGGGAAGACGGGACATCACGAGCGTAGCTCTCATTCTATAACCACACATAGGTAAATTACACATTTCAATTCTTGCACTGGTAATGTTCATTGTCTACATAAACGACATACCAAAAGGAATGCAGAATTATATGAACATGTTTGCTGATGTTAAGATACTAGGGAAGATAAGAAACCTAGGCGATTGTCATGCCCTTCAAGAAGACCTGGACAAAATAAGTGTATGGAGCTCCACTTGGCAAATGGAATTTAATGTGAATAAGTGCCATGTTATGGAATGTGGAATAGGAGAAAATAGACCACATACAGATTAATTATGTTATGGAATGTGGAATAGGAGAAAATAGACCACATACAGATTAATTATGTTATGGAATGTGGAATAGGAGAAAATAGACCACATACAGATTAATTATGTTATGGAATGTGGAATAGGAGAAAATAGACCACATACAGATTAATTATGTTATGGAATGTGGAATAGGAGAAAATAGACCACATACAGATTAATTATGTGATTTTAATTTTTAAATTCTGAGAGAGAAAGAGATCTAAGGGTGGATCTAGATAGAAAACTGTCACCTGAGGACCACGTAAAGAACATTATGCGAGGAGCCTATGCTACGCTTTCCAATTTCAGAATTGCTTTTAAATACATGGATGGTTAAATACTAAAGAAATTGTTCACGACCTTTGTGAGACCAAAGCTAGAATATGCAGTTATTGTATGGTGTCCATATCTTAAGAATCACATCAATAAACTGGAAAATGTTCAAAGACATGCAACTAAATGGCTTCCAGAACTAAAAGAGCTATGAGGAGAGGTTAGAGGCATTAAATATGCCAAAGCAAGAAGATAATAGAAAAAGAGGTGATACGGTCACTATGTACAAAATAGTAAGGGGAATTGCCAAAATTAATAAGCAAAAATTCACGAGACTTGGAACTTCAAGAACAAGAAGTCATAGATGCTAACTAAACATAACTGCAGAAGAAGAAAAATCACTCTTGCAAACAAAGTGGTAGACGGCTGGAACAAATTCAAGTGACAGAGGCCAGAACCGTTATCAGTTTCAAAGCACTACATGAAAAAGAATGCTGTGAATACAGGACACCACGAGCATAGCTCTCATCCTCAAACTACTGTACATCTAAGGTACCGGTGCTCATATACATATCCCCATGTACAAGTGTGAACCAGGACCTTTCAGTTGTGACTATTGCCTTGACCAGTGCACCACAGGACTCCCTCATACACTGTAAAGCACACAAAATCCACATAATGAACATATTTTCTGTCAACATTTTAATTAACAGTTGGAGGTGGAAGTTGGCTCACCATATCACTAGAGATGAATACAAAATCTTGATATTTAATATTTTGGAAAAGTACAGCTCTCTAGTTTCATAATTTTTATATTGAAATGTTTTAATCATTCCTTATTGTATATTGTACTTTCATGAAAATGAAGAATGCATAATAAATCTGTGATTTTTTTTTAATTTGGTGTTGAAGGAGGTTGGCTCTCTTGCTTAGCTAAATGAATTGTGGGGTTCAGTCCCCGAGCCCATTATGTACCTCTGTAACCCTTTCGACTACTGCCCACAAGATGGGTATGGGGTGCATAATAAATGAACTAAACTAACTAACTATGCTGCCAGAAATAATTTTAAACCATGTAGCTATATTTTGAGACAGATATAAAAGCATTAAGTATTTTTTCCAAAATGATTTCATTTTTCATCATTTTTCAATTGTATTCTACAACAAAATGAATATGGTGTAATAAATGAATATTCAGAGTTTTTTTTTCATTCACAGTTTGAGATGAAGGTTTGGTTAGGATAGGTTCATACTTACATCATTGTGCATTCGTGTTGTCAAAATAATTTTTCACTACACTACATTCCTTGGCAAAGTAATAATATACTAATGTATGTTCTAGACTTTACCCGAGGGCCACCATCTTTGAAAACAAACGAGCTCTTTCATACAATGACTAATCTGTGATCATATGGTTTATATTAGTGAGATCACACACCACTATAATGCATTAGTACATTAGTACAAGGCAAAAAGTCTCACATCATGAGATTCATTTGTGACAGTTTTCTTTAGGGCCCTAATTCTAAGAAATGCTTCCTGTTTTGCATTTTTACTGAAAATTTATGAATACTTTATAAAATACTTCAACAAACTTAAAATCACTAATGTCATATGTGTAGGTATACACAGGTGCAGTGAGGAGACAAGTGGATGCAACGTGTGAAGTACAGAGTGCTGCACTTTAATGGCATATGGTGGTCAGCAGAGCAGTTTTTATTTTTTTTTTTATTTTCTACCACAGACGTGGCCACACAGTTACAATGCTAATCAGCATATATACATTTTCTTCTGTCCTCCATGGACAGGGTTAGAGAAGCAGAGCAGTGAAAGATGTACTCTTCACTGTCCACTACCAGTGAAACTAAACACTTTCCTTTAGCATTTTTTTTTTCATTATATTAATGTCCAAAAACTATTGTAATGAAAATAATCTAAAATATATTTATTCACTGCTAGAAATTGAAGAACATATCTTGCCCGTGTTAAAATATGTTGCTAAGGAATAACCTGATATAGTACCTAAATAACAAGAGCACACCGTATAATACTTACGAGGACTGGAATGTCTGTGTCAGCTCGTGTTTTAGTTCGCCACGATGATTAATTGTGAAGATCCGAGAAATAGGAATCCCTACAGCACGGTATGCCCAAACATCCTAAAGAAGGTAAAATTTTCATTAGGATACACACAAGACATTAGGATGCTTCTCCCCTGTATCAACCTACCGTGGCTTTGCGCCCTGGTGAGGCCACTCCAGACCGACAACCAGAGCGCAACTCCATAGTCTCCTGAGACTGATGGATGCCTACTACTACTACTACACACAAGACAACATACCAATATAAACAAACACAATCTATCAGTTTCAAGGAAATGCATCAAGAAGTGTTTTACCATTAGGTAATAGCTTTCAATTACAATTTGCTGATGGATGTCCTGCGTTTGGTATCCCGGCTGTTTATATGAAAATATACATAGGTATGTTACATATTATTTACATGGAAAGAAAATATAGCTGATAAAAGCTGGAATTTACTGTTTAGATAAACATCACTACTACAATATAGTGTACAAAATATTGTAATACCAAGTCCAGTGAATATCAAACAGTGTATTACCACAACCTTTTACAAATGATATAGTCAAGACTGGCCATGTACATAATTATCCATTGTGGTAACAGATCTATGCTCCTGGGGCCAGATTCACGAAGCAGTTATGCAAGCACTTACGAACCTGTACATCTTTTCTCACTCTTTGGTGGCTTTGTTTACAATTATTAAACAGTTAATGAGCTCCAAAGCACCAGGAGGCTGTTTATAACAATAACAACAGTTGATGGGCAAGTTTTCATGCTTGTAAACTGTTTAATAAAAGTAACCAAAGCCGTCAAAGATTGAGGAAAGATGTACATGTTCGTAAGTACAGTACTTGCATAAATGCTTTGTGAATCTGGCCCCCCTGGAGTCCTGTCTTCTTAATTTCATATCAAATTTGGTTTCTTTCCACATTTCCCGAGGTTCTGTCAAAACTGCCTCTAGATTTTTCTTACCATTTCCCACCATCTGTAAGTGGTCGATGCAGTTAGTTCACAACCGAAAGAGGCCAATTACGATGACTAATGGAGATATACAAGTACATTTTCTTGAACACAATGACTGTTCACCTTGTAGTAAACAGGTTCCTGGGAGCGAGGCAACTGTTATGGGATGATTCTTGGGGATGGCCAGTCATTGGCTTTAGAGGGCTCTCGACAAGCTTGACAGGCTTCCTGATCCTGACACTACACTAATGAATAGACGCATTAGATGAAAGGAAATGAGCCCAACCATTTCCCAGAATCCCAACTTGGATTTGATCCCAGAATTCTCGATTGTGCGTCGAGAACAATAAAATGGGAACCAAGGTCATTTTTTACATCACTTATTCAGTAACTTGCAATTGTGTTCTCTTACTGTTTTAAATTTTTTTTTTTTTTTTTTAGCAAATCTTGCCATTTAATGGCAAGGTATTCGTATGGGCCAATAGGCCTTCTGCAGTTAACTTTATTCTTAATTGTCTTGTAATCTTTGAAAACTTGAGTGTCTTCTCTTCCTCTTGGGTTTATATGCAATCATTTGCATTTCCTCAAGTCTTTTTTCATTGACTGTATTTCTTACTTCTGGGATCAGTATGGCTGCTTCTCCCATAACACACTCGGTTGTATTTAAGGCAAAGGTACTATACTAAAGCAACAAACTCTAATTTAGGTTTAACATATTCTGTGTTACAGTATCAGACCACGGAGGAAAATTGAAACAGGAATTTCCTTAAGTACTTTCGTATATTAACACTTTCGCGCTATCTGGACGCGCCGGCGCGTCCCGTTTCGTCTAACGCTAACGCATAGTGGACATAAAGTTGAGTCCTCTTTTAAAATATTTGTATAAAATTCAATTTTTATCCGATTTACTTTGGGTTTGTTTCAAACTGCGCGCTATGAGGCTCTCTTTCTCACCACTAGGCTGCATGGTACAATAAGTTCATGAAAGGTGTGGATAACTTCGATCAAATGGTATTTTGTCCCAAACGGGTTGCAGGTGGGTGACTTTAGCCGTTTATACTGGTAATGCTTCCCCCATATCATGTATTATATGCATATGTCTGTTTAGGGAATTTTATTCCGATCAATATACAACCAAAAATAACTGTGTGCAACAAGTATAAACTTGACAAACATAACAAAAGTAAAAACATTTCGTGTGTGTTTGACGCTCACTGATATGTTCCAGCGTTGTTTTATATTTGGCGCTATTCTAACTTACGCTTTGTTGATATTTTTTACCTATGGGCACATAGAACATTCTATTGCGAACACATTGACACAAAAATGAATGACGTACATAGAAAATTAATGTCATGAGAGTGAAATAAGTATAAACTTTCAAAGCGCCGTGCGTCGTCCCGTCACCGATACCGGGTAACAATTTCACCACTTCCCACACTCTTGCGGGCGGGCCGCATCATTATTCTACGCTTATATTCATATCACCGTGTTGGGAATTTCATTGCGAGTCCATTGATACCAAAATTAACGCTGTAGAATAAGTGTGGAGGTGATTACAATCCCAAGAGTAAAAACATTTTGTTGCTGATGGGCGCTCACGGCGAGTCATCTTCGTAGTTATTTATTTGGTGCTGGTATCCCTATACGTTTCGTGACTTTTTTTACTGATGTTCTTCTAGAGAATTTTATTGCGAACACGTTCGTACCAAAATGAAATACGAAGCATGAGAACTAAGGTCAGAAGAGTAAAAAGAGTATACACATTTTTGTTTTTACGCTTAAGCGATAAAAACGCTGCGCGCACATTCGGTTGGCTGAGTGACCTTTGCCGAAAGCGCGAAAGTGTTAATACATCTTCAGAAGTATTAATATACGAAAGTACTTACGGAAATTCCTGTTTCAATTTTCCTCCGTGGTCTGACACTGTCACATTTTTAATCACGTGTCTATTTTCGTGATATACACACACATTGTGTTAAATACTAATACTATTCGTATTTAAAATACTAATAATAATACTAATCTGTATTAGTATTTTTCCTCCATACACACGAGGGTTATTCTAAAGTATGCTCACATTACAGAGGACACGTTCACCTTAACGTTTTCTGGCAAATGTCTACCATTTACAATTACTCTCAGACAAGTATATTTACCTTACAGCACTTCCTTAACATATTAAAATCTCTCTCATGCTTATTTTCACTCTCACATTTCCAGTAGGCAGAATTAATCTATTCAAATTCAAGCATTAGCTTTTATTATCTTGTAGTCTTTCAAACATTTTTGTATCCTCTAGAGATATGTTCATACAGTCATCAGTCCCACTACGTAATACCTAACAAATTCTCAACATTACTGGGGGCACATAATTGGTCTCATGGTTCTTTGTTAATCACTACCCTATCAGTGTTCCTACTAAAGCTCAAACAGGTGCACTATATAATAAAAATAGTAACATTATTTTTTTTTATAAGACTACACTGTATATTACATGAAAATTTGCTCCGATTAAAAAAATAAAAATCCATAGTAAAACAAAACAAAAATGCTTATTTTCTTCTTTGATTCATAGTGCAACACATTCATAGTAGGAAATTATGATTTATGTTACAGTTTTCCTAAGAAGGTATAGTGCAGTATTTTCAATATTTTCAACACCATAAAACCAGATGTATACAAGAGTGGAAGATGACAATTATTTAAATTATTTTTGGGTATGATTGAGAAAAATACTATCAACCAATATTATGTGCTTAAATATTGTAAAAAAAAATAATTAAATATCACAGACCTCTGAAAAAGGAAAGCGTTCTACTTACATTTATTTTGTTTCCATATCCAGAATAAAATGGATTTCTATCGACAGGGTAGAGAGCTTTTATGTCCCTTAAACAGGATTTCTTAAACTCTTCTGGTTTCTTCTCGATCACTTCACGATGGAAAGCTTGTATTAAAGAGGTTGGATTCAGCAGTAAAGGCCCATCGGGTAATGAAAGATCTCCCTGTTTAATGGATCTAAGGTAGTCTCTGGTAATGCGGGCCTGCCCTGTAAATATGAAGTACAGCAATTTAAGTAACTTTTCCATCTACAATATATTTTCAGTGTTAACACTTTCTGTATACCATACAGAAAGGTTTCCCAAAGTGAGAAGTATGCCCCTCAAGGAGGCAATTTGAAGATTATAGTAAATGTATGGCTGTTTCTCCAATATTCATTAACTGAATAACTAACGTACTTTTAAATTACTAACACAAGTTTTTGATAAATATTTGTCACATCATTTAGAAAGAATGTCATTTGGCCCCAAAATGACAGCCAGTTCTCAAAACGGCAGACCCAGGCAGATAATATACTAAAATGCCAACTAGAAAGCATAAGCAATACTGTAATCTCGATTAGCTTAATATGAGCTTTCGCGGGCAATTAACATAGTTGACATTTGTCTTATCTTTGAGATTGAGAACGCTTTGTCCTTTGTATCTGTGTACCGATCTTTGACTGCTCTCGCTTCCCCAAAAATAAAAATATTTGCAGCACTAGTACCCCTGCCTACATTAGTACTTCACGGCACTAAGGTTAGAATTGAACCTTACCAACTTATGCCCAAAACGCTATGCGTACTAGTGGCTTTAGGCATTGTATGTACTAGCTCTATCTATAAATCCAACATTATGTTTGTAAATCAACTATGCATGTACTTTCCTGAATAAAATTTACTTTACTTACTTTACAAAAAATTTTTTTTAATGTTAACTGTCTACACTAATTCTAAGTTGCCTTATCACTTCTGAAAGTAACATGTCAACAGTACAATTTTCATTGAAGAACCAACCAGATAACTTTGTTATATTTTTATGTATTTTCAATATTTTTTAGGCTAGCAGGCATTAAAATGCTTTTATTTATTATATGTAAGTGTATAATATGTATATGTAGTACACATACATTATGCATCTTTTTATCATCACCAATAATAATATTGATTTAATTTTCTACTGACACTAATATTGATTCAATATTAATGTCATCAGATAATGAATAAGAAATGTTGCTTTTGCCATGCTTACCTATCAGTAAGCATGCCAAATATGATTATCTTGGGGGCAGTTTGCCTCATGTCACCTTTCAACTATGCAGGACTGAGATAGACAGTGCAGCCAGCTGACTTGTACCACCTAACCGTACATCACAACTATGATAGTGGTATCTAACTTCTACTCCTGTGTTTTGTCAGTTTTCTTCCTAATGGAAATACGTTCCATTGTTTCTATCACTTTTAGCCCCATGGTTGCTACAGTAATGCATCTTGATAAAAAAAAACAAGTGGAGATATTGCAATAGATAACAATGCCATTGTAGATTCGGCATGTGAAGCAGCTCTAATGTTCGAGGCCCTAGTATGACAGTGGCTTGGGAACATTTCCACATCTCTTTTGGTCAATTTGAGTATAGGTTCTGAGTTATTATTGTCTGACAATAATACTTGTTGAATTACAAGTATTTGTCATATTTAATATCTTTTGTTTCTTGTTTTTATGAATTTTAAAAATATTTGGACTTTGCACTAAAATTCCTTTGGATATGGATGAACCAAATTTCACATGGTGCAATAATGATTCCCTGTTGACTTTCATTTATATATTTTTTACAATCCTTCCTCCGAATGGACAGAACGTTTTAATACTAAATGTAATAAGTACATTCCTGACTGTTTGCATAGTACATAAATACACTTAATTGTGCTGTTACATTTACCTCCCCATATATTCCTCATTTTCTGTTAATACAGTACACTCAAAATTTTTAGGTTGAAGTTTTTGTGTTCAATTCTATATACACAAGTTTTAAATATAAAGATTTTCTTTTCCAGTTTTATTAAACAATAGAGATTTTATACAAAATTTGAAAATACCCTGAGTATAATTTATTGAAAGACTTTAGTTTTGCTTTATTAGTTTTATAAAATTGTAATATCAATATAGCTATAGGTTAAGTACTAAACGTAATTAAGAAGCAATAAATGCTATCTACATGCTTGTCCCCCTACACTCCCAAGGTTAGGTTAGGTCGTGGTTTTCTATACAGCTTTTCAGGTAAACTCTAATATTCACAATATTTTGTTGCGATGCTGGCGATGTATTTATGTAGTATGCCGATAGTCAGGATTGTACTTATTACATTTAGTATTAAAATGTACTGTATTTGGAGGATGGGCTGATTTTTTATTATTACTGTGATAAGACAATTTCTGAAATATTATGTCATTTAAGTTTGTTAAAAAGATTTTATGTAATGTACAATAGTTTACAATTAGATTAGATCAGTTACCAACACATCCACATCACGATGGCCTAACTCAGTGATAACTTGAGCGAACTATCTTCATAGCAACAAACATTAGTTTGATCCACTGAACAAACTGCTTTGCCCATACAAGAATTTAATAAGAGCAAGGTCCCACTATATACACATCATAAAAATCAGTTTAGAAGTGGTTTTTTTCAATTAAAGTTTGTCTGGTATTAGAAAGCCAAAATGTCTCGCCTGTACAATGCAAATTATTCAACCTTTTCCCTTCTATGTGAAATGAGTAATGTTGCCAATATTTATTTATAATTTCAGAGTAACCATTTATGACACAGTGCACTCGGAAGTTACTTACCTATGGCCCTGGCTGACAGGTACAGGAAGTGATAGCCATTATTCTTAATCTTTGTGAAGAGCTGAGCAACCCCACTCTGGGCCCAGTCTTTGCCTAAGATTGGCAAGAGGTGACCTAGTACGTCAGACTTGGTGATGGTCCCATCGATGTCGGACACAACAATCTTATCGTCATAGTTCCACAAGAATATATGGCATTTGCAGCGTGTTGTTCCCTGGTAAGCCGTTGTCACTGAGAAGAGTGCTTCGTTGCTTCCCTCAACCAGATTGAGCTTGGCCTAATCACAAAATTTTATGGTCAATTTGAAATGGTGTTGCAATACATACACAAGTACTTAAAAACTGCACTACAAAGTAAATATACAATTACATTTTTCTTTGGCAATAATTATTAAATATTTATATATTTGCAAGAAATGTCCTTAAAAAACAATTATGAACTTACAATCTGATCAGATGATAACCTTAAGCTCTTCTTGAACCGTTCTCCAATAAAAAGTCTATCTTTCCCATCATCTAGGTCCTCTGACTCTGAAGAATCTGTTCCAGTTTTACAATTATGAAGTCCCTTCTTTCTTGGAGTTCCAGGCAAGCTGGTCTGAGTCTCTGCTGCCGTCACTTCTATGACATTGGAGTCAAGCGTGCTGGAAGCCTCTTCTGTTGCCGAGGTTCCAGTTTCTTTATGGAACTTTATAAGAATCAATAAAAAATCTGTATTAAAATGTACATTAAAGATAATACATTAATATCGAAAATCATACATTTTAAATACAAAATTTATTAATCTAATGAACTATATTTATTGCTTAATAATTGATGAAAATGATCTGAGATGAGAAGAAAATAAAGGGACATACAAGTGTAAAATGGATTATGGCACAAATACCTCAAGATGATAAAATCTTGGGAGAAAAGAAAATTCTGCTTTCATAGTTGGAGAGTCTGGAATTATCAGGGAAGGATCAGGAATGAATTGGAGAAATACAAGGTTACTAATGAATCATCTTGGATAGAACAATACATCTGTGGCTTCAAATATTGCTATTGATACAATGTAAACCATTTTATAGATAGATTAAGAATTTTGTAAGTTTCTTATTTTATTCAAGTCTTAACCAATCAAAACATTTCTTAGAAACAAAGCACTGAATCATATTTGAGCTTTATTCCAGTAAAAGGTGAGGTGTTCCAAACCCATAAACAAAAATGTTATAAACGAACTGTTATCCATTCAACATTACTATTTAATTAACGATTCTTTCAGGAAAAATCAATATTCCTACCTCTGTACCACGCTGAGATAATATTCTTTCATCATTTGTCCCCTCTTTATTGCTCTCAATGTCTTCAGTTTGGTTGTTACGTCTCCAGGATGAAAACCACGAGTAGCCCCTTGATTCTGATCGTTTTCGTATCTCCTTTTTGGGCATGTGTTCCTTGTTCAGAATATCTGCCAATTTCTGAAGAAAAAATACTGTAATAATAAATAATCATCGTAATCCATTACCCAGTTTACAGAGCATGGAAACATCAGCCCAGTGATGGAGCAGCTAAGAAAAAGGAAACAGAGAATATGGTCCCACAAAGCGCACACTTCCACCATCAACTCATCCCACGAAGCACACACTTCCACCATCAACTCATCCCACGAAGTGCACACTTCCACCATCAACTCATCCCATGAAGCACACACTTCCACCATCAACTCATCCCACGAAGCGCACACTTCCACCATCAACTCATCCCATGAAGCACACACTTCCACCATCAACTCATCCCATGAAGCACACACTTCCACCATCAACTCATCCCACGAAGCGCACACTTCGACCATCAACTCATCCCATGAAGCACACACTTCCACCATCAACTCATCCCACGAAGCACACACTTCCACCATCAACTCATCCCACGAAGCACACTCCCACAATTGAGTCCTCCCACAAAGTGCACTCTCCCACCATCGACTCGTTCCACCAAGCACTCTCCCACCGTCGACTTGTCACACTATCGGCTCTCATACTATTGACTCACCTCGACAAGCACTCTCCCTTGCTATTGTACCAGGCAGTGCAACACCACACACTATTGTACCAGACAGTGCAACACTATGCACTATTGTGCCATTTAGTACAACACTGTTGTGCTGCAGTAACGTTCTAAACTACTCCATAAAACATTTGATCTCATTCTCACTTCTCTCAATACTTTGATTACAATCATACAAGTAAATATAATATGAAGGTAGTCATGTATGCTGAAAATGAATGAAAAATGCAGATAAATGAAGGCCTTATTAAGACCATATTCAAATTCCCTTAGATTTGTCCGCACATGAGTGATACACACCTGTGGGATTGGTTGTTGGAACAGTACAAGAGAGAGAATCTGAGGACCAGCAGTGTTCCAGTTGAGGTACTTCCCACCGAACCTTATTACAAGGTCAGGATTGTCTAGAATTTGAAGATTCTCGCAGAAGTCATCATAAGTAACAAGGCTTTGCAAAAACAGGCTCTCGGGAAAGTTCTTCTCGTATTCATTAAGACGTCCACATAACGAAAATGCTATGTCTTCGTAGCCCCTGAACAGATATCAATAATTAGAGTGGTATTTTTAAAATATTGTATGAATATTGACACTAGGTCAAGCCTGTAACCAGTTAAATATCTTTTTTTAACAAATTATTAACAATTTTGAAAACTAGGTCTGTAATGCTTAAATACCACTTTGTGGAATTATTTGCACTGAACTTTCTGGCAAGTATGCAATGCAGCACAATTAAGCATTTGTTATCACAGTGATTACTGATTACAGTGCAATTCTACACTAATTGGTGTGGAAAAGCTATAACTTTTATCCGAGAAATAAAACAACTAATCCTCTCTAAAATACAAATGAACTAACTTATAATCAAATATAGGATGCCTGGAGTCTTCAAAGTCTGAGTCACTACAAATCTTGGGTCCTCCAACAGCTCCTTCTACACTGTGAGGCGACTGAGGAAGTGACGGCCCATTGCCAGACTCTGCATCTTCATCTTTGACAACACCTGTACACATGATATTTTTATAGATATTTCAGCTATCATTAAGTGTTCTTATGTAATATTTCTGCCTTCCCAGCTTTATTATAAACTGAAAAATGAACATATTACTGTGTTATCTCAACCCACCACCTAATGTCACCTCAGACTACATTACCTAATATTTGGGGTTTGTGAAAATGAGTCACACATCTATCTATACTATCTTGTGCTGCTTTACTTGGTATACTTGTGGATATTTTATGTAAATTGGGCTAATCAAATTTATAGAAATAGTTGCTACACAATTTTCTATTATATGTTGTGTCATGCCACCATACTATTGAAGTTCTTGTAACATAAGCTCTAAATGAACAAGACACTTTCTGACCAGCAGTCACTCTTGGCAGCACCACCTTTAATTAACATGCCCTTCTTTAATGGCTCATTCTCTGCATTTATCTAGCTTTTCTCTTAAGTCTGCCTCACTAAATTGTTACTTGAACTGTAGCATCATATTTTGCTTACAATTTTCTACTTTAACACGCATGATATGGGAGTCTATTATAACACATCTTCCTCCATACACTTCTCTGCATTACATGAATTTACCCGAGGGCCACTATCTCTCTAATGGCCTCGATGAGGGCAGGAAGCCGGCAGCTTGTCCAATGTCCCCCCATTTGTTCTGATGATTTTGTGATACAAAACTTCTTGTTCAACTTGTTCCTTCAGCAAATGACTTTTTATACAAGCATTTCCTTCACAGCACCACATTTAGGATATATTCTTGTGAAAAATGTCTTTAGGTACTGTATTCAATATTGTAACCGATACCAAGATTTAATTCAATCTTCATCCAATGAACTCATAGGCCTAAGAGAAACAAAAGCTAACAAGAGGCAATTTAGAAATGTATGGAAGATGCTCAAGAAGAGAAATGGCACGTTAGACCAAAATATGGAATATCGAATATGAAAATATGGACGACTAGAATTTTTTTTAGACTTTATCCAGTCAACAGAATTTATGGTAACATCATTTTGTTGAGGCACACTAAACATTTTACACCTATTAGGTAACTAATCACAAATCCCAATATTTACAAAGTTAACAAGGCTATTAATAATTTTGCAATTTTCTTGCAAAAGTTAATTCAAAATATTAAAGAATGGCTTTTAATCATACCGGATGAGTAGCTGTTGTAGCCACGTTTCTCAGGAACCTTGAAGTTACGGGGGAAATATAGAGCGGCCACTTCTGGGTCAAGCTCATCCAAGTTGAGGTCATCGAGATAAATGCCCTCGCTCTCAGGGTTATGCCGAGCCTTCTTGGTGGCCCGCATGAAGCTAAACATACTGCCCAACACAGAGCGCTCATCATCTAGGGAGGATAAGCCCACACACGCTACTACATTGCACACAAGTAGACAAACATATTAACAGCACAATATTGTACACCTTAATGATTGCTAGCTTAAAATATACTTACTTAACTGCAGTCTTGTACTGTACACAACACACTAACCATAACCGTTCATTATCTCTTACATAACTCAAAAACCACACACACACTTTTTATTTGACTTCGAAAATCAATTTTATCTTCAGAAATTCTCGTAAAGTAACCATTTTTCTTGTTACACCACAACTGCCAATCACAACTAAATTATTTCTGTCATTACACATATACTCTACATAGTCAACATAATTCTGTGAACTTTGCAACTTTCATGCAAAGTTCCATAAGTTACTGTATAATCCTCAATTGTCATTGACATTACAATTACTGTATAAATAATGAAGTCAGATATTACTTCACAGTTTTAAGAAACAATTGTGCTTTAAGAAAGTGAAAAGCCATCATTAGTCAAATTTGTAGAGAAAATTGATTGCAGAAAAGAACGAATGGAGTTCTGATTATTACCGTATACACTTACAAAATAAAAAGTTAGTCTACAAAATATATAGCCTATACAGTTGCAGGACAAAATTCAAATAGAGAGAGTGAACATGACTTCCCATAATGGCAGCCCAAGCATTAGAAAAAAAAAAAATAATGTTCAAACCGAACAGTATCTTTATACAAGGAACATGTCCAGCACAACAAGCAGCTTCTTGCCCTGCCTGACAGATACAGAACATTCTAGAGGTTTACCAATGCAATAGTATCACCATCAGCCTATTTTTGCCTATATTATGTCAAACTTCAGCAGATATAGATTTTTTTTTGTATACAGGTGGGTACCATTCCAACATTTAATAACAAATATTAAGTATTGGTATTAGAGTATTGTTTTCTTTACAGAATGGAAGAATCAGTATGGATCAATACCAGAGTGCCGGTACGGGTCACAACACTGGCACAGTTTTGGTACACCACTAGAACATTTCATGACGACCATCTTTCAGTGTACCAACTTGTTGCAAGTACCAACTTGGGTGTAGCCAAGTATTGCTGGTAAGTTGGTGAGTGAGCACACACTAACTACAGGGCAGCAAGTTTATAATGATGACATGATGGGAAACGTTTAGCAAGACCCATCACACAACTCCTTGGTGACCCAGTCTACATATACCTCTGCATGCCATCTTGAGGTTATCTTGAGATGATTTCGGGGCTTTTTTTTTAGTGTCCCTGCGGCCCGGTCCTCGACCAGGCCTCCACCCCCACGAAGCAGGCTGTGACAGCTGACTAACACTCAGGTACCTATTTTACTGCTAGGTAACAGGGGCATAGGGTGAAAGAAACTCTGCCCATTGTTTCTCGCCGGCGCCTGGGATCGAACCCAGGACCACAGGATCACAAGTCCAGCGTGCTGTCTGCTTGGCCGACCAGCTCCTATTATCAATTCCCTCACCCATCTTTCATCTAACTTAAAAAAAAGCTGTTTAAGGGAAAGCATTTATACTGTATTTGTAGATGTGATAATATAATAATGCAAAGCAATATTATGGGTAAACAAGTTTTGACAATATGAAGCCTGTACTGTACATAAAAGAAGTCTACAAGACCACAAGTAGGGGCTAACTTCCTTTCATAATAAGATGACTCACTATGAGAACAATACCTAGTGTATATGGTATGCAAATCAATCACCCGTCATATGAAAAATTAATATGTAATATAATTGTTCTGTCAAGCAAGCATCATGAAGATTGCTCGTAAAACAATGCAGCACATCCTGCTACGGGACACACATGCAGGTACGGGGCATACACACACGCAGGTACGGGGTGCACACACCCAGCTACGGGCCACAGCCAATTGAAAAGTGAAGCATATTGCTTTAGGTAATAGCATTCACCCTAGAATAAGAACTTTAAAAACATCAAATACACATTAATACTGCCATCCACAATGAGGCACTAAAGCAACAAATCAACACAATATTCAGCATGCTGTCTCCCTGATTATACATTGCAAACATATTACTTGCTAAATAACTGGTTCTCAAAAACAGACGACAGAAAGCAACATCACTCGATAACAACACACACACACATGCCAAGATGTCAAGGAAAATGTTCATCAAATTAAAAGCAAGCAACATGAACTGTGCCCAAGACATTGCAGAAAAACAAGAACCCTTTAATAGTAAAAACAAAGCTAATACACTTTCTATCAAGCAGCTGTTTTCATGCTACTCACTGGACCAATAGCAAAGCTCGCATTAACACCACGTCTCGGAGCAATCATGGAGGTCATCACACACATGATTACCTTCCAAAACAAATGACACACAAACCACAGTACCGTGTTTCACATTGACAGCTAATCATTTGTGGCATCATTAAGATATCGCCTAAACCAGGGGAGCACAAACTTTAAGGTGCCATCTAACAAGACGAACTAATCACACACGCTAGTGAACATGCACAAACATGAGCCACCGCATCAAACACAAGTTTATATTGTGCTACCTAAATAGCCACACTAGGTAGGACACCAACAAAATAATTATAATTATTATTATTATTATAATATATATACCTGTATTATATATATATATATTATATTATATATGTTGTACCTAGTAGCCAGAATGCAGTACTCAGGTTTTCAGCCTACTATGCAAGGCCCAGTTTGCCTAATAAGTCAAGTTTTCCTGAATTTCTATATATTTTAAATGTTTTACTTATGAAATGATACAGCTATCCATTTCATTATGTATGAGTTATTTTTTTTTATTTGAATGAAAACTAACGTAGATATATGAACGAACCTAACCTACCCTACCTGACCTATTTTAACCTAACCTAAACTAACATAACTAAGTCAATCATTTATATTCTTAATATAATAATTCTTCAAATAAACCAGTTGGAAACAATTGCTTGAAAATAAAGAAAATCACTTGGCCTATTAGGTAAATTGGGCCTTGCATAGTAGGCCAAGAAGTGCATTCTGGCTACTAGGTACTACTATATTTTATATATATTATATATATTATATATATTATATATATATATATATATATATATATTATATATATATATATATATATATATATATATATATATATATATATATATATATATATATATATATATATATATATATATATATATATATATATATATATATATATATATATATATATGCAAACAAGCCTGAATGGTCCCCAGGACTATATACAACTGAAATCATTAACTTAAAACTACATTTTATACATACTCATAGTTTGTACTACAGTATTTACAAGTGTATCTTAAATTTATTGAGGAATCTTGTTGGCATATGGAAGACAGTGAGGAAGGTTTGGAACGTTTGAATGTTTGGATCTATATTTGGCATATATATATATATATATATATATATATATATATATATATATATATATATATATATATATATATATTACCTTCTTTCTTACTTGTCTTTGCCAGCTTATCATTTTCTGTCTTTCCAGCCGGAGAATCACATTTTAAACTTGCTGTGCGCGTTGGGGTCTTGGGAGGTGGCGTGGGCAGCTCTCCCCACACCCAGTTCCACTTCATCTCATCAGTTTGAGATGACCCGTCAGCAAAGTCAGCTCTTTGTCTCTCCACTTCATATTCTGTATCAGATTTGATTGGAGTTGCTGGTCTTGAGTTAGAAGGGCTGCCATGCCATAATGAAAACTAAATTAGTACAGTAACACATTTAAATGATTACATAAAATATTGCAAAACCTATGAATATGCCTGCATTTTATTGTTTTTGTACTTTTTGGGTTTCTGAACATAAAAGTTCTTATTATATATCATGTCATGGGTTCCAAGAAAGTCAGTGGTAAAGTTCAACCTAAGTAAATAGTTGTGAGGATGACAGCAGAGGAAAAACAAGAGATTATTCAAAGTGAGCCGATGTGATGTCTCGCTACACACAAGTGTTAAAACGTAGGGAAAAACAAGTGTCTATAGACAGATTCTTAGTAAAACAAGTAAGCAGTGAGCCATAACCCGGCCCTAGTGGTATGCAAGCAAAATGTAGGAGAGAGAGAGTAGTACCCCAAAAAAGTCATCACTGGCTGATGTTATAATGGAAGGGGACTCCCTTTCCAAACACTAATACCTCTCCTCCTCTCCCCTTCCTCACTGTCTTCCATATGCCAACAAGATTCCTCAATAAATTTAAGATACACTTGTAAATACTGTAGTACAAACTATGAGTATGTATAAAATGTAGTTTTAAGTTAATATTTTTGGGGGTGTGGAACGGATTATTTAAATTTACATTATTTCTTATGGGAAAATTCATTTAGGGTTTTCAAATTTTTGGGTCTCGAACCGTCTCTGGGAACAGATTAAATTTGAAACTTGAGGTACCTATGTTTTTGTTATTATATAAGAAAATCAATGGTTCCAAACATTCAAATATTATTCTACTGTAATAGACAAATTATTTCAGATTTACAAAACTTATTAAAGATTTTGGATTATCTAAATTTTATTTATATTCATGTATTTATATATTTTAATAGTACCATGTAATCTACATTACACTTCAATTTACTGCCAATGTGCATGTCGCTTTTTGTAATTGCACAAAACAGAAATGCTGTCATTATGGAGAGAAAAAGAAGCTTTCAGTACACATTACTGTGTACTTAATGTCAAAATGTATGGATGAAAAAACAGTAGCAAAATTATTATAGCATACATTAAGTATTCCTTGAAGTGACACACACAAGTTTGTATACATGTACAGGTATTTGTTCAAGCAAGATAGATAGTTACATAAATTGGTGTGTGCTAACACAAGCTCCAAAATATACTAATGCATATGTGTAATACGAGAAAAAGGATTACCATTCTCATTATGTCTGGCAGCATTGACTAGCTTATTCCAACTGACAACAATGTACCTTGGCATAACAATGCAACAAAATAAACAACTGCATTCAAATGAGCTAGTATTTTAGCAATTAGATAGTTATTTTGATTTTGAATTAGCAAAAATGTACCATTACTGGTGGTGGGTGATTGGGCCATTAGCCTGCTGATGGGAAAGAGTTAACAGTGTGAAAAGTTAAAATACGCACACCTACCTTGGGGGAGGACTAAGGTCGGTGTCACTGAAGGGGTGGAAATCTGGCCCCATTGATCGTGAAATACCACCACTCCATTCGTCTACCACTTCATCCTGGGATTTTTCAAGCAGCAACGGCATTGACGTGGACTGCGCCATGTTAGTGGTAGGAGAAGACGAGCTTGGACCAGACTGACAAGTTTGAAATGGTGCTGCTTTTTAGATTTTTTAAATACAAGCTTCTAGTGTACAAAAATAAAAAAATGATCTAAAAAATAAAACAAAAATCAGGAATGAATCTTAAACTGCGTAATTATTTTGGCAAGAACCTAGAAATCACTCCCAGAAAATACTGAAGCACTTTACATTTTTCCACTAAAATTTAAGGTCTTACTAGAGGGATGTAAAAGCCAGTTTTAAGATTGCATTCCAATTATAAAAAATAATCATAAATAATATTTAAATCATAATCCAAGAACTAATAACTACTGTAGTTATTAGCGCAGCATTTTTCAACCTTTGTGCCCTTGAAATAATTCTGGGTCATTCTTTTAACAAATACATTCGGATTTCATTGTCAGCTGAAAGAAAACAATGTCTGTCTTTGCACTTGATACTGGTTAAAAATTAGAAAAATTAAACATAGCAATGACTCAAAAATATACAGTGGCGCCTCGATAACGAGTTTAATCCATTCCAGCACCGAGCGCATCATGTGGGAAAACTCGTCTTGCAAAACAACAACAAAACTGTTGTCGGAGGTGTCTGAGAACTAGCGGGAACACTCGTTAATTGAGCAAAAGCTCGTCAGTCAAGAAATTTTCTGCGAGTGGCTTGCTCATTACTCGAAATGCTTGTAACTGGAGCCACTCATCACTCGAGGTTCCACTGTATTTGCATGCGATTAGAATTAGCTTATTTATCAGTACCTCGTGTGGAACCCCTAGTTATCTTGGTGTTCCACGGTACAGTGGTTGAAAAATGCTGTATTAAGAGGATAAGAAGCGTATTAATCTCACCTTCTCAGCCGAGTCAATATCATCCATTATAAAAATGCCTTCCTGGTTGGCTCTAGGCAATGGCCCTCTGGGCAAGATGGTCGAGAGATCTGCTACTTCACTTGTAGTCGAGGTGTCACTTGACTGACTACCTGAACTCTTTGGACGCTGCTTTTTCCCATTGCACCGCTTCTTACGTTTACGACGGCTACTTTTGTTTGCTGTAAAGAAGTAAATTACATAATATTACATAGTACACATTTAAATAAAATGCACAACAATAAGCACTTGATTTCTACTCTTAAATGCAATACTCATCTTTGAATTTCCAAGCAGCATTTTTAAACAATTTGGAAATTAATAAAATACAGTATCCCTTACCTCTTACAGTTTCTTCACCATCTGTTTTACTTCCTTGACCTTCTATTAACAGATTTTGCTTTAAATTTGATACATCTGTATTAAGTGATCTTGTAGAAGACCCTTTTATTAAGCTGGAATCTTCAATCTTCTTGGGAATTGGTTTAAGTATGGTAGTGGTCTCTGTCTGTGTTTGGCAATCCCTTTGTTCCTTCTTCCTGTCCTGCTTTCTTACTCTTTGAATTACACCGACTTCACTGCTCTCTATCTTGTGTTTATCATCATGTGATAGAGCAGTAATAGGCTCTTCACTCTCAAGTGCATCTGACTGTAGAGTAGATTCTGAGGTATCATGGTTCAAAGGTACAATTGTTTCACTTGATGTATCATAATTAGCATTACTCTTTGGTAAAGTACTTGATGAAGAGAGAGACTCATCAACGCCAGAATCTTGCAATTTTTCCTCATCTTCTGTCTTGATTAATTCTAGCTTTTCTTGGAAAACTGAGGGTGGGAGAGGTGATGTTCCAAGCTGAGGACTCACCTCCACACCATCTTCTAATTCTTCTACAAAGAAAGCTTCTCCCGTCTCTCCCAACTTCATATGTATATCCACGGGTTCTCCATTAATCTCAATATCAACCTGAAAAGATAAAAACATTCCCTTATTGGACAAGCGAAATTTTGCTAAAACATTCCTAATATTGTTAAAAACCAAATACTATACTGTATACTATAGATTTAACAGTAGGTGACAGGCAGTGGACAGTTGTTAGGAAGAGTGAGGGAGGAGACATGAGAGTGGGAAGGGAGGAGAGATAATAGAAGTAGAGGGAAAAATAAAAGGAAGGAAGTCAAAATGCTGAGCTGCTTAAACTTGGATATTTCAAAGCACCGAAAAAACAACTGGGCACAGTAGACAAACATTTCTTGAGGCAAGACATTATAAAGCAGAATGAAATGGGGAGAGAGTATCCATCAGCAATATTAAATCATTTATTCACCGAAATATTGAGGAAATAGAATATGAATTCCCTCCACTGGGAGCCAGTCACTATTTTGCTACATCATTTAAAACATTGTCAGGAAGGGCACCACCATGTGGGTGACCACCACCACGGTGAGGCATGAGAGACGGTTGTTGACACATGAAGCACCAATGTGGGTGACCACCACCACCACCACGGTGAGGCATGAGAGACGGTTGTTGACACATGAAGCACCAATGTGGGTGACCACCACCACCACCACGGTGAGGCATGAGACACGGTTGTTGACACATGAAGCACCAATGTGGGTGACCACCACCACCACCACGGTGAGGCATGAGACACGGTTGTTGACTCATGAAGCACCAATGTGGGTGACCACCACCACGGTGAGGCATGAGAGACGGTTGTTGACTCATGAAGCACCAATGTGGGTGACCACCACCACCACGGTGAGGCATGAGACACGGTGGTTGACTCATGAAGCACTAATGTGGGTGACCACCACCACCACGGTGAGGCATGAGACACGGTGGTTGACTCATGAAGCACCAATGTGGGTGACCACCACCACCACGGTGAGGCATGAGACACGGTGGTTGACTCATGAAGCACCAATGTGGGTGACCACCACCACCACGGTGAGGCATGAGACACGGTGGTTGACTCATAAAGCACTAATGTGGGTGACCACCACCACACTTCCCCCAAGGTTATGGAGCAATGCACCTTTCCCGTGGCTAGTTCACCATAACTTCCAAATTAGATCTCTCTGCATTACCAGTAAAGCACCTCAGTTTGAACGCTGGTAACCATAGCGGTCACATAACGGAACATTCAAGTAATTTTTTTTAATTTTGCCCCGAAGGGCGAGTTTATTGGGCAGCGCCACTCATCTTGTGAGTGGACACACCACCATAGCAGCATGTACAACACTCCCCACAAGGAAGAAAACCCGCTGGGTTGTTCATCCTATCAAAGTTGGACAAAGGTTAGCCAGTATGCTAGTGTTTGAAGCTATCCCCCCAGCTCATGGCGGCGGCATCCTGTCTGGTATGACAGTTAACTCTGCTCCTTACTATCCCCCACCCAGCTTACCATTGACACTCCCACCCCTATAACTCCCACAGACACCCTTCCCCCCTTTACCAATATGCTGCCCCATTATGCCCACACACACACTTTGCTCCCTCACAACCTTCATGCTGCCTCATTATGCCCACACTCACACTTTGTTCCCCCACAACTTTCATGCTGCCTCATTATGCCCACACTCACACTTTGCTCCCTCACAACCCTCATGCTGCCCCATTATGCCCACACTCACACTTTGCTCCCTCATGATGCTCCATTACCTCATATTTCTTACAAACATTTTACTCGAAAACATTTCTAATTGATTTATCGATCAAATTGTATCAGCATTTGATCTTTAATAATGATCAAATCTAATTATGTATTTGTGTGCGCCTATGTGACCACTAAGAAAATGAAACGAAAATTTCGAACATTTTATTTTGTGTTTCACCACAGCCCCCGAACGGGGTGAGAGTAGCTTGAGCTACCTCATCCCTTTGTGTGTATTTTACCTCAATAAACTTATTTCAATTTCAACCACACAGCCCGTCTTCCAAACAAAGACCCAAAGTCCATGCCATGCACCCGCCAAATCTCCTGTTTATGGATGAAAAACGGTTTACACACGACTCAACTGGTGACGTTCGAACACTTCCGGAACGAGTGCTTTACTGACTAATTCTGTTCGAACCACAACGCTGTAAATTATTCACCCACGTACTGCAAATACAAATAATCGCCAACAGAACCTAAACACCTAACCTAATCTATGCTTAAATATGCACAATATGATATAATATTAATTTATATTTGAGACAATTCGTGTTTTGACTGAACAGCATGTTAAAATTTACGAATGCGTCTGTGGGGTCGACCGCTGGATGGAATGGACTTTAGTCTAGGACGGGTTCCACCATATTATCAAGGAAATATCTGTATTTTCTTGATAATTAGAAACGCAAAAATGTTCGGAATTTTAGTTTCTTTTTCTTAGTGGATACTTAGGCTCAACCGAATCTCTCATATATAATAAATATATTATATATACGTGACTCGGTTGAGCGTAAGTGATATTTTGTGATTATTCTTGTATTTGTGTGTACATATATTTATGGTTACCGTATATTTTGACTAATAAATATGCAGGTATTGACAAGTAAAAGCTGTTATTTTTATTAATTTTAACATGTGCAAACGATCTTCCAGAGGGAACAATCATTATTCCCAATGTTTGTTGATGATTACACACAGAGATCACACTAACGTGATGCATCAGATGAACAAATCCACAAGGGCTGTGATGAGGATTCGAACCTGCGTCCGGGAGCATCCCAGACACTACCTTAATTGAATGAGCTACGACAGGGTAAAAAAAAAAAAAAAAAAAAGAGTTGAAACCATAAATTCAGTAGAACTTCGGTTTCAACTCTTTTACCCTGTCGTAGCTCAGTCGATTAAGGCAGTGTCTGGGATGCTCCCGGACGCAGGTTCGAATCCTCGTCACGGCCCTTGTGGATTTGTTCATTTGTTGATGATGCAAAAATGAGAACCGAGACAGGACGACAGCTAGAGATTACAAGAAGACCTGGACAAACTTTATTTATTTATACAAGAAGGTACATTGGGCTTGTGAGAGTACATCTCTCTCTCATCGTATCTCATATCAGTCATCTCTCGTATCAGGAACAGGTGAGGGCCACAGGGCTAACAACACTGCAAACCAGGCATGACAGGGCGGATCTCCTTAGAATTTTTAAAATACTGAACAATTGGGTGGATGTTGATCCGGAAAAATTCTTCAAAGGTCAGATGTAACACAAACAAGGATCAACAGTTTCAAGTTCAACAAGCCACAATGTAGGACTGAGAACTGATGATTTTTCGCCCACAGGGTGAACCCATGGATCCACATTTACGCGGAAGCCGTAAATGCCAAAGACGCTGTTGAATTTCAAAATCAAACAGGAAGCGATTATCAAGGCAAATGGGGGGACCTTCGACAAGCCGCCGGCTTCCTAGTGTTAGTGACCCTCGGGTAAACTCGGGTACATAACATTGGTGTTCTTACATTCTTGCAAAGCCACTACCAAAGCCCAGTACCAAACAGGGCTAAAGCCACTACCAAATAGGACTGAAGCCCTATTTAGCAGTAAATAGGTACCTGGGAGTTAGACAGCTGCTACGGGCTGCTTCCTGGGAATGTGTAACAAAAAGGAGGCCTGGTCGAGGACCGGGCCGCGGGGGCGCTAAGCCCTGAAATCATCTCAGGATAACCTCAAGATAACCACGCATAGCGTTTCGGGCAGGTCCTTAATCTACCATATAAGGTAAGATTAATAATTAGTACATTGCAGCAAAATTTGATTTCAACACAATAACTACAAGAAAAATTGAAGGAGATGATTAACGCTGGTGAAGATGCCTGTCTTAGGTACTAAATATTGGGGAGGCGGGTACCACAAGATACTGTGAGAGTTTGAAGCACAACGTAGGAAATTATGAGGATGTAATTAGGTACTTTATGGTTTTACTTGTATATGAAGAATAGATTAGGCAATTTTTTTTTTTAATTTATTAGGGGAGCGACTGGGTCCTTTTATTTGCATGGAGTGCTTTCACAGATTCAGTTTGACTTGGTAAAATCAAAGATACTTATTTCTAGTGTGGTGCTCATGGGTTCTGTTACATGTACCAAGGAAGAGCTTCAGCACAGGATTGGCATTTTGGAACAAGGTTTAGTATATATAAACAGCACAAGAGAATGTGTGAAGCGTGTGTGTGTGTTTACCATGTTGGCATTTGGCAACATCCTCTTGGTTAGATAGTACGATTTATAACTATGTTCAGCATAGTACAAACATTGACGTAAATAGCAATTAGATAGTAGAATTTGGTACTATTCATTTTATTGTCCGAACTAAAAAAAAAAAATATATCCCTAGGCCAAGTGTAGAATATATATGTACTCTATTAGGCCTCAGATGGCGTGTGGTCTGGGAAGACCTTCCCAGACCACATGCCACAACCTAACCTATCCTTCCCAAGAGGTCTGGGAAGGATAGGTTAGGTTGTCTTGGCAACAAATGCAAAACATTTTCCGGCTTGTCAAAATTCAACAGTAACGATTTCTACATTCTAATTGTCCATTACGTCATATACGTACAATGGTCCTCATCTTTACTCTAAGTACTAACTAAACAGGAGGATGGGCTGCATTTGGGCGAATTAAATAAAACAAAACGTGAACTTTTGGAGGTTCAACAGTCCATTTTTGTACGTTTGACAAAACGGCTGCTATAAGCACTACCATTTTAGGAGGTTGGGTTGCTCTGGTACCCTGCATACCGTACGATGATACAGGTGTCAACATCCCAGCCTCCTAAAATGGAAGTACTTATAGTAACGATTTGTCTGAAAGTACCAATATGTAGTGATGGACCACCAGGAAGTTGACTTTTGTATTACTGAATCTGGACGTTTCCCCACGAAACTTTGGTTTGTTTTTTTAACAGCAACATAAATATAAGACCTAACCTAACCTCTCCTAGCAATCCTAGGGCTAATACACGCTATTTTAGTTCTCACATAGTACACATATATGTGCTATACTAGGCCTAGGAATATTTAAAGTTTGATTTTCAGCTTTATTTTTTCCTGGAGTTCTTATTTTATATATTTTTGTACTATAAAATTAATAGTACAAAAAGTGGTTTAGTAGTGGTCCTTCACTACATATTGGTACTTTCGACCAAATAGTTATTCTAAGTACTATCATTTCAGGATGGGTTGTAATCTTGTAAACCTGTAGCACAATGGTCTACGTCCTCGGCTCACAACCTTGGGACTTAGATGTGGGCGTTAAATCCCCTAGCCGGTCAGAAACGGTTGGGCACATTTACTTCAAAACCGATTCTCATGTTCCGCTAGTATTATAATAATAGTTACGTAAGTGTTGCGGGCTGCGTGCTGGGGATAAGTCAGAAGTTGATTTAGGGCCTAAGGGAACGTCGATAAGCCCAAGTACAGGAAGCCTGTCCCAGATAACGGAAATTCCAAACGCCGTCTTGGCTACAAGTTGATGGACAGATTTTGAATTTTAAATTAATGTTAATTTGCTTGAGAGAATGTGGTAACATTGGGTGTTAGGGGATTCCTCTCACACACACACACACACACACACACACACAGGGGGAACACAGGTGGAAACCGAGTGCCCAAATGAGCCACAGAAATATTAGAAAGAACTTTTTTAGTGTCAGAGTGGTTGACAAATGGAATGCATTAGGGAGTGATGTGGTGGAGGCTGACTCCATACACAGTTTCAAGTGTAGATATGATAAGAGCCCAATAGGCTCAGGAATCTGTACACCTGTTGATTGACGGTTGAGAGGCGGGACCAAAGAGCCAGAGCTCAACCCCCGCAAACACAACTAGGTGAGCACACGCACACACACACACACACACACACACACACACGCACACGCACACGCACACGCACACGCACACGCACACGCACACGCGCACACACACACACACACACAGTAGTTAGCAAATGGAATGCATTAGGAAGTGATGTGGTGGAGGCTGACTCCATTCACAGTTTCAAATGTAGATATGATAGAGCCCAATAGGCTCAGGAATCTGTACACCAGTTGATTGACGGTTGAGAGGCGGGACCAAAGAGCCAGAGCTCAACCCCCGCAAGCACAATTAGGTGAGTACAATTAGGTGAGTACACACACACGTACGTACGTCTGTGAACGTTCCAGTGCGTTCTCAGTCTCCGTCCTGGCTGCACTCGCTAATATAGGCTACACGCCTCCCCGGGCGTACTGCTCGCCACGCCCCCTAGCTCACACCACCACGCCTCCTCGCTCATCACCCACCGTCACCCCAGCTATGGACAAGTGAGGGTGAATGCAGTATCAAGTACTACCATTGATCCAATGACGTACAAGTGAAACAATGGCGGTAGGCAGAGAGAGAGAGAGAACTTTCGCCGGGGTATGACGTCATGTCTTCACAAGCGTACATTCAACAATGTTTTGCCGTCCACTTAATATTTTATATATATATATTACATAATATGTTTTAAGAGAAGGTTAACACAGTACAAGTTACAAGTGCTCACACGACGGTGGGAGGAAGAAGCGAGGCTTCGTCCCCACAACAATGTTATGTAACCAGTTCAAACACAGAGGACACAGGTGGAAACTTAGTACCCAGATGAGCCACAGAGACGCTAGAAATTATTTTTTCAGTGTCAGAGTAGTTAATAAATGGAATGCACTAGGAAGTGATGTGGTGGAGGCTGACTCCATACACAGTTTCAAATGTAGATATAATAGAGCCCAGTAGGCTCAGGAATCTATACACCAGTTGATTGACAGTTGAGAGGCGGGACCAAAGAGCCAAAGCTCAACCCCCGCAAGCACAATTAGGTGAGTACAGAGGGAAACACCCCCCCCCCCCCCTGTAAATCATCTTACAAAGTTAGTGTTAGGTCATTGCATATAGTTAAATAATAAATACTGTAATCAGAATGTTTGTAACTCTGCATCTATGTATGTACTTTTCCTAAATAAAATATTATTATTATTATTATTATTATTATTATTATTATTATTATTATTATTATTATTATTATTATAGTTGCCTTTACTCGTGTACATCACCAATGATAGCCCATGGTGTACAGCTGTGTGTATACATAGTTCCAGCTGTGTTCTCATACTATCTCCACCATGCTCAACTCAATTGAACTTTGAACATTGTTCAAAGATATAAACCAACATTTCCAGAGATAATTGTTATCATTTGGACTTGGCACATTTTTTTATTATTATTATTTTCTACCACAAACGTGGCCACACATTTACAATGCTAACCAGCATATATACATTTTCTTCTGTCCTCCATAGACAGGGTTAGAGATCAGTTAAACATATAGTTCAGGGATTTATTGAACAAACTTGGCACATTAGCAGTGTACTGCGCTTGGGATCACACGCGGGCTCCTCCCGCTGCCTCCCCATCACTGTCGGTACGTACCGTTCAGGCTGGTCCGGTACGTACCGTTCAGGCTGGTCCGGTACGTACCGTTCAGGCTGGTCCGGTACGTACCGTTCAGGCTGGTCCGGTACGTACCGTTCAGGCTGGTCCGGTACGTACCGTTCAGGCTGGTCCGGTACGTACCGTTCAGGCTGGTCCGGTACGTACCGTTCAGGCTGGTCCGGTACGTACCGTTCAGGCTGGTCCGGTACGTACCGTTCAGGCTGGTCCGGTACGTACCGTTCAGGCTGGTCCGGTACGTACCGTTCAGGCTGGTCCGGTACGTACCGTTCAGGCTGGTCCGGTACGTACCGTTCAGGCTGGTCCGGTACGTACCGTTCAGGCTGGTCCGGTACGTACCGTTCAGGCTGGTCCGGTACGTACCGTTCAGGCTGGTCCGGTACGTACCGTTCAGGCTGGTCCGGTACCACCAGTCCACCACAACCAGGACTAGTCGAGGACCGGGCCGCGGGGGACGCTAAGTCCCGAAATACTGGCAAGGTAACCACGGCATGCTGCCTCTATTCTAGTATGCTAGCATAAGGGGACTTTAGCACGACAGTTTCTTGACGTTGAGGAACCTTAGGAGGACGAGGTGCGTTATCGTACGTCGGGAAACACTGCCACTTGCACTGCTCACACAGATGAGTTCTCCCGTCAACTACCAGACAGGAAAATAATGCATGCAACGATAGCCTTTTGTTCCATAACTATGGTCCACCCCGCCCCCCATCCTTGGTCCACAGATAACATTGGGTCATACCACCCTTCACCACGGTGGCACCACCACCACCATTCACCACGGTGGCACAACCTTTCACCTTTGAGTCGTTCTTATTTAATAATGCAGCCCGTCCTCCTAAGGTTTCCCAGCGTCAGGAAAACGGTCAGTTTAAAGTGGTCTCTCCTAACCTACCAGAGGACCCAAAACAGAAAACGGGACAGTACGTCACTTTCGCCAGCCGCTTCCATTTCTTAGTACGGCAGTTTTTAAGCTTTATGTAACGCATACGAACGAAATGCGACGTTCTTTGTAGGACAGGTTCAATAATGATGAAGAGCGTAAGTGATAATTATGGCTTGAAATGATTACAATGATGAATTGTGTAGATGTACTTAAGTGAGCTTGGCAGTCATTAGTGCAGCCTCGTGTTCTTACAGGCTCCTCATTGTGTCAATGGTATCTTGTGGCTCACATTTTGGTCAAGTTCTGATCACACTCTTCCATGACCTTCACATGACGCGGCCACCTTAATACTACGGTATTAGTCACGTGCGCTATTAATTACTTTACGTCATGCAGACGATCAGTCACAATAACGGGGCTGAAGACTAAACCACACACCACAAGATGAGCAGACGACCACTTTCGGTCCGTCCTGAACCATTCTCAAGTCGATTGTCCAATCGACTTGATAATGGTCCAGGACGGACCGAAACGTCGTCGTCGTCTTGTCTTCTGGTATGTGGTTTAGTCCTTATATTTTACGTCATGTTTTACACCTGTGAGCAGGGGTCGTGTACACGAGGGCAGGGGGGCGTGCACGAGGGCAGGGGGCGTGCACGAGGGCAGGGGGCGTGCACGAGGGCAGGGGGCGTGCACGAGGGCAGGGGGCGTGCACGAGGGCAGGGGGGCGTGCACGAGGGCGGGGGGCGTGCACGAGGGCAGGAGGTCGTGCACGAGGGCAGGAGGTCGTGCACGAGGGCAGGGGGGGCGTGCACGAGGGCAGGGGGCGTGGGTGCACGAGGGCAGGGGGCGTGGGTGCACGAGGGCAGGGGGCGTGGGTGAGGGCAGGGGGGCGTGGGTGAGGGCAGGGGGGCGTGGGTGAGCACGAGGGCAGTTGCTGCTTGTCCTTTTTCAAGTAAGGGTTCCCTGCTGGGGGTCTCGCCTTCGTTGTATAATAGGACCCGCGTAGCCCCTTTGTCCAAGTTTCTAAAGATACACGAATGTTAACCAGTATGTCATATGCAGCTGTTATTATTCTGCTAGTATTATGGAGACACGTTTGTGTGTGTATATATACGGACAAAGATCGGGAGATAGACGAATGGAAGAAGATTCTGCAGTAGGTCTCGAGCTTTTGCCTCACGCTCGTGGAATCCAGAGTTCAAGTCTCCCAGGGCCCCAAGTGAATGAAACTGCATGAGTAAATTAACCTATTCAGTGGTCGAGGATGAATATCGAGAAATAGTGCAGGGTTGTCATATGACCTCCTAGTGTATTAAGATAGTGGGGGACAGGCGACGGTGTGGCAGCGGTCAGGTAAAGATCAGCTTTAAGAGCCAGCAGGGGCGAGAGGGAGAGCGTCATACTGCCACACCGTACCCTAACACCCACACTATTGCCACAAAAAGTGTATACGAACTACGAGACGTTCACAGTAACACTTACCACTTTCTCCCTGCTCCTGAGGACGCCCATCTTGCCGAAGCGGACGTGGAAGGGGGAGCTGAGGAAGGTGCCATCTTCCTGTCGCACCACCACCACGTCGATGGCGCCTGAATCACACAAAGAAACACAACAGTCAATATATGAACAATACTAACCCAGGTACAGGCGACTGTAAAAACACGCGGGGGTCTACCACAGCTGCGTGGACCATGCAGCTAAGTTGAATGCGCGGTGCAAGGGGGAGTGGGTATAACAGGTGTGGACCAGGGCCAGGTTTCAACAAGCAGTTACGCACCTTCTTACGAAACAATACAGTTTCTCATTCTTTGGCGGCGTTGTTTACATGTATTAAATAGTTTACCAGCATCGAAAGTACCCATTCAATTGTTATTAACAGCCTATATGTGCTTGTGAGCTCAAACTGTTTAAAAAGTAGACAAAGATTCCGAAAATATGTACAGGTTCGTAAGTACTTGCATAACTGTTTTGATGAATCTAGCTCCAGGCGGCTAGACTAGGTCGAACACATGGGGGTGGGGGGGGGGTGGACAGGTACTCACGTAGTACACCACCACCATCCTGTGCTCACAGGTGCGGAGCACAGGAAGCTACTACCCTCTGCCGTCCAAATAAGATAAGCATTTATCCTGCCGATGCACACACCACCAAATGTAAACTGTCAGCAAAATTATTCGCACGCTGCGTCAGTATGTGATGGAGTGTAAACAAATTAAAGAATTCGGATATAATTACCACAAATGTTCAAGATTTTTACATTTCATTCAAAATGATCTACCAAAATTTGTAACCAATTATCGCCAGTTTGTTAACTGTGGATAGTACAAAGAAGTGACTAACCGTTCCACTGCCGCCCACGGGTATGGGATGTATCAATGTAAATTAATATTATACGTAACTGACTCTCCTAACAAACACTCGTGTTAAAAGTCTCGTGAGGCCACAGTGATGTTATACTTTGATCAGCTGTGAAGACACGATTTATATTATATGACTTATTTAAGTGTTAACAAATTATGTAACTAGTTCATCAGTGCTGTAACTTGCTTAGTTAAATCAATTTTGAGCTTCGGCTCCAGAGCCAATTATATGGGTATAAGCCATTTTCCACTACCGCTCACAGACTGGGTATGAGGAGTGCAATAAAAGAACATTACTCCACTCACCTACTAAGCAACACCACTCACAAACCAACCAACCCACTTTGCAATCTCTCAGGCACAAGTGGGCTACCCAGAGTTAAAGCAATGGTTAAATAATTAAGTCAGATAATATCCGCAGACTAGTGCTCAAAACAGTGTTCTTAACCACTACAGCCTAATATCGGCAAGTCAGCCACACTACCATAATTACCCAAGGCCTACCCATTAATAATGGGGGGGGGGGTCGGGGAGACATTCTTCGGATGGGGGTTAAACCATTAAACAATGAGGCCTAACCCAAGCCAGGCCTACGGAAAAGGTGGAGATAATGACAATACGCGCAATAAAACATAGGCGTGAAAGTATTGTGGGCTGGTCCGGGGGATAGTTTAAGTACTCTGGGCGAGTGATGGGAGATGTCCCAAGTGCTGGGAGCTAGTCATGGGGATGGCACTAGTGCTGTAGGAAAGCGGTGTACACCTAATCTAATCTCGCAATGAAAATTATTATTTTCAGGAAGGCAGGAGTGGGGCCATGTAGGCTCGGGGAGGCAGGAGTGGGGCCACGTGGGGCCACAATTTGCTCAGTAGAACAACAACATACTGGAGCGAAAGATATGGAAGAAAATGCAAAATAGAACCAGTGAGGAGTATAGGCACCTCTACTCCTCACAATCAGAGAGCAGTCTGAACATCAGGGGTCCACGACTGTTCATTGCCATCCCAGCAAGCATTCGAAATATTGCCGGAACAAAGGTGGATGTCTTCAGGATGCAGGAAAGTCGCCAAGAGAACTTAGACAAATTCTTGCAAGAGATGCCGGACCAACCGGGTTGTAGTGGATATGAGGCCCCTCCAAGCAACAGCCTGTTGGACCTAGTTATCACAAGTCGAGCCTGGATTACTCTCCAATACAAAGATCCTAAACGTAGACTATGAAACGAGGTAGAACAATAATCCACGCACAAGTTTATAGCCTAGTCAGGCCAATTACATTGCTGTATGTCTTATGGTTTTAGTTCTAAACTAAAACCATTCTAGAGTAATTTATACAATAAAAACTGTTTCAATTTCATACGGTAATGTAGCCTAACACACTACCGTAAGTCCAGACTTGGAGAAGTTCATGAGCCAAGTCTGAGGACAGGTTGTATGTTGTCTTAGGCTAATCATAATACTAAGAAACATATCCTAATTTATATACAGTACTGTAGTTCCAATGTAAACATTGTAGAGCGTTACAAATATCCGAATCACTTAATCCATCTGTAAATCAAAGTGAACCACACATCATTTATGAGTACTATTGATAATGAGATCATACCTGTTAAAGTTGCAGCGTTGATCTCATTGTAGAAATCCTTGAAGTTGGATATGAACTTTCCTATGTAGTTCATGCTCCTCTATCCTATTACAGGTAACCCAGAGGGGAGCCAGTCCCCGGCCACGCCAATTGTGTAGCTGTCATCAGTCAAGATAATCCGTTAACTTCACACATTTAACATTTAATACCAAGACAAACGAGTTCATCTATTGTTATTATATATATACTGTATATATATAATACAATATATACAATATATATAATATATATTTTATATATAATATACATTTAATATATATATTTAGTCCCCAGGGCCAGTATGAGTGTCACCAATAGTCCCCAGGGCCAGTGTGAGCGTCGCCAATAGTCCCCAGGGCCAGTGTGTCGCCAGTAGTCCCCAGGGCCAGTGTGAGCGTCGCCAATAGTCCCCAGGGCCAGTGTGAGTGTCGCCAGTAGTCCCCAGGGCCAGTGTGAGTGTCGCCAGTAGTCCCCAGGGCCAGTGTGAGTATCGCCAATAGTCCCCAGGGCCAGTGTGAGTGTCGCCAATAGTCCCCAGGGCCAGTGTGAGTGTCGCCAATAGTCACCAGGGCCAGTATGAGTGTCACCAATAGTCCCCAGGGCCAGTGTGAGTGTCGCCAATAGTCCCCAGGGCCAGTGTGAGTGTCGCCAATAGTCCCCAGGGCCAGTATGAGTGTCACCAATAGTCCCCAGGGCCAGTGTGAGCGTCGCCAATAGTCCCCAGGGCCAGTGTGAGTGTCGCCAATAGTCCCCAGGGCCAGTGTGAGTGTCGCCAATAGTCCCCAGGGCCAGTATGAGTGTCGCCAATAGTCCCCAGGGCCAGTGTGAGCGTCGCCAATAGTCCCCAGGGCCAGTGTGAGTGTCGCCAATAGTCCCCAGGGCCAGTGTGAGCGTCGCCAATAGTCCCCAGGGCCAGTGTGAGCGTCGCCAGTAGTCCCCAGGGCCAGTGTGAGCGTCGCCAATAGTCCCCAGGGCCAGTGTGAGTGTCGCCAGTAGTCCCCAGGGCCAGTGTGAGTGTCGCCAATAGTCCCCAGGGCCAGTGTGAGTGTCGCCAATAGTCCCCAGGGCCAGTGTGAGTGTCGCCAGTAGTCCCCAGGGCCAGTGTGAGTGTCGCCAATAGTCCCCAGGGCCAGTGTGAGCGTCGCCAGTAGTCCCCAGGGCCAGTGTGAGTGTCGCCAATAGTCCCCAGGGCCAGTATGAGTGTCACCAATAGTCCCCAGGGCCAGTATGAGTGTCGCCAATAGTCCCCAGGGCCAGTGAGTGTCGCCAGTAGTCCCCAGGGCCAGTGTGAGTGTCGCCAATAGTCCCCAGGGCCAGTAGGGTGCATGAGGGCAGCATGACCAATGATGCAACAGCTGTAGTGGGTGCTGGGGGGAGAGGTGGAGGGGGGGCGGAGAGTTGCCAAGCACACCTGCACCAGGTGGTTCCTACAGGTGCCCTGCGCCTCTGCCCGCTCCTACGCCTGCTCCTGCACCACACACTCGCTGATTCACCAAGACCACACCTTAACTTTGTCCGCAACTTGTGGACACAGAACCAGAAATCAATACAGAGCCAGTTTCACGCTCGCTTTCAAAATTCACCTCATCATTTCACTACAACTCTCGCTGTGGTTCAATTAATACATTACACGCCTGTTCTCCTGGATGGTGCGTCAACTACACGGGAATATCTTGCATTAACACAAGTATTGTGAGCGTGGTGAAGGGTTTTTGTCCTAAATAATGATAGTGAGGGAGTGTTGTGCGCTTGGCAACTGCACATCAGCTGGGCCACCACCAACACTGTCAAACAAAGACTCATTCCAAACTCTCCCTTGCCAGCTGATGGCCCATTAACTCTCGTATTTCTCCCTTTCGAGTCAAGGAGAAGGGTGCCCTTAACAACATAAAACAAAATGACTATCACAATTTCGCTCACATTTACCAAAATAATGAACTGTGTGAGAAGAGGAGCAGCGAGTCTGTACGCACACGCTGACTGCTCTCGACGCACTGCGCTCCCACCCATGTGCTCGGTGAGTGGCCGACCCGTCACCTGCCCCTACCCGCCACTAACATATATATACACCAATTTATTTCATACATTCATGCTCTTATCGTCACTTTATGTGTCTCTTAACCATTCACGGCGTTATCATCAACACGGATTAAATGGTTTGCAAGGGTAAACTGCAGCAGTAGATGATTTTTGCCTCTACTGTATGCAGTCTTATATGAAGCCCGATTTGTCATTAAGTCTGTTTTGAAAGTCATGTGCATGTGATTCATTATGCATTGTCGATCAGCGGCGTATTACGCACCATATATACGGGTGTTGTATTACTATTCATATGAGAGTATGCTTACAAAACCAGGAAGCGTGAGTGTACAGTACGTATATTGATCGATATACGGCGTCGCCCGCCCTTGGATTTTCCCGTGATTCCACTGTTTCTGCTAGGAAAAATGTGCCATTCTGCTGAGTGCACAATGAAAGCAGTGCCATTGTGCACTCTTGACCAAGTATTTGGTGAAGAGTGCCAGCTGAGACCCGGGCAATAGAGCCAAGTACATAGCACTCACCACAACGGAAGTACTCCTCATCCTCCAGCTGTGGGACACTCTTTTCCCTCTCATTCCACACTAAACCAGTATCTTTCCTCATCAGCCACACACACCTCTTTATAATGATAAACCCTGTAGGGAGGAATTCATTGGGATAATATGACTACTATACATCAGTGCTCACACTAGATAGAAAGATTAGACGACATCCCATCACCCACAAAATTGTTTGAAGCGAATTAAAGGGTATAAGCATAACATGCAACAAAATCAGGGAGAGCATTGACAAACTAAAAGACTCAAAAGCCTCAGGTGTAGATGGAATTCAATCCAAAATAGTAAAGGAACTGGCAGATGAACTATATGCCTATCACTAAATTTTCATGTTTTCATTTTCAGATTTTCTCAAACTCTCTGGACCAAGGGACAGTTCTCCTAGTTTGGAAATATGCAAATGTCACCTCTATTTAAAAAAAAGGCAGAAAGGCGGTCTCCGTGGCGTAGTGGTAAGACGCTCACCTGGTGTTCCGTGAGCGCTTTGTCCTGGGTTCGTATGGATTTACTGGGCACAAATCCTTAACTGTAGCCTCTGTTCAACTCAACACTAAAATGGGTACCTCGTTGTAAGAACGATTATTCGCGGAGGTCGTATTCCAGGGAACATAGGACTTGCCCGAAACGCTACGCGTACAAGAATGTAAGTACTCTTGTATATATGTATCAATATATAAATAAAAAAAGAGCTCAGCAGACAACATACCGTCCGATCAGTGTGACATCACATATCTGCAAGCTCATGGAAAGAATCTTATAGGAGGGAATCACTCACCATCTCACAATCTTGTAAAATTAACGCAACATGAGTTTGTTAAAAATAGATCCTGCCTTACAAACCTGCGCACATTTTTGGAAATGGTAACCAACTATTCAGACAAAGGACTTCTGGTAAATGTAGTGTACACGGACATTGCTCAAGCATTTGATAATGTATCACATGAAAGACTAACAGAGAAATTACAGGCACATGGAATAAATGGGAGAATACTGGAATGAATAAAACAATGGTTAAAACAGAAAATAAAGGATTGGGCTAAATAAGTGGGGTGCCTCAGGGGTCCATTTTGGGGCCAACCTTTTTTGTCATATTCATCAATGACATAGATGAAGATATTACAAACCACATCATCACATTTGCAGATGACACTAAGATTGATGGTAAAGTGGGAAGTGATAATGATATTGAAGCCTTATAAAGAGAGGTACATGAACTCCACAAATTGTCAGAAGACTGACAAATGCTTTTTAATGTCGATAAATGCAAGACCTTGCATGTGGGGCATAACAACCCACATCACGACTACCAAATTAACAACATTACCTTGCAGCAGATTGATGAAGAAAAGTACCTTGGAGTCAGAATGCATCATTCACTGAAAATTGCACAACAAGTGGGAACGGCAGTAAAAAAGCTAACTATACCCCTGAGAATAATTAAGCGTACCTTTGACTTTAAGGGGAAGAAGGTAGTGATTCAGTTACATAAATCTCTGGTGCGCCCCCATTTGGATTACTGTATCCAAGCATGGAGACCTCATCTTCAAAAAGATACAGCTACATTGAATAAAGTTCAACACCGAGCAACAAAATCATTCCAGAGCTAACAGGGCTAGCAACACTGCAAACCAGGCATGACAGGGCGGCTCTCACGAAATTTAGAATACTGAACAGTTTGAAGGATGCTGAGTCAGACAATTTCTACATAAGGTCAGATATAAGACAAACAAGGAGCAAGGTTTTCCAGCTCAACAAGCCACAATGTAGAACTGAAAACAGGAGGTGCTTTTTCTCACTCAGTGTCATAAACCCGTGGAACCGCCTACCCGCAAAAAACGTAAATGCCAAATATTTGTTGAAGTTTTAAATCCAGTTAGAAAAATCCCCAGGACAAATAGGAGGACATTCGACCAGCCTCCAGCTTCCTGTCCTGTTCGAGGTCATTAGTGTGTTAATGATCCTCAGGAAAATTTAAGTAAATTTTAGTATAACACTAATGTTAAATAATTATTTATAAAGAGAATGTGATAAAGGATCAGAGTAATACAGTAGTTAATTTGTAGGTGCAGTATTTGTATAATTTTTTTTAATTAGGACTAGGATTCATTAGGGCTGTCAATTGAAGTATCAAGTGAAACTGCAAGCTAGAGCTGTTATCCTACATCATACACGCACCCTGGCCTCAACTGTAACCAAGAGTTGTGCCCAGAATGCAAATCTGTCATCTGAACATATGTTTTGAAAGTCAACACCTAAATTCATTTTGATTTTGAACTAATGTTTCAAGCCTATGGCCTTGAAACATTTCACACCCACAGACTTGGTGAAGGAGGGAGTACTGGTGCTGGGGTGGCCTTCAGGGGGGGACCTGGACCCACTCCAACTCCGCCTGTTAAAATCCCCCATGATAAAATCCCCCATCCCCCCCCCCCGTCTCTCTTACATCACTAATCTATATCACTGTAAGAACATTTCGTGCAAAGTTTCAACACATGAGTGAAAACTAAATCATCAAAGATGTTTGGCCTGAAAGGGTAAGTGTGATGTTTATTATTGTTTTTCATTTTTGTGTGATCAGCATTACGGCATTACAACAGCAATAATAATTATAATTATAATAATAATAATAATAATAATAATAATAATAATTGAGAGTGATGGTAAGGAGTATTGGGAGATTGTGGAGTGATGATAGCACGAAGTTACTTGGCACTGTTTCCTTTGCCAGTAATTTGGAGCCGGCCATGATGGGCGCCGCCCCGAGCACCAGGGGGGTGATACATGTAGTACAAGAAGAGATGTATACACCTGCATTGTATTATGCCAGACTCTGCCCTAGGATGCATGTGCACCAGCACATGCATCCTAGTGGACCCTCTAGCCACCATTCAAATTCAAATTTAAATGCCACTACTCCATCTTGGCATTTGTCACCACGTACACAACACAGCGTCCTATCCAGAAATCTACCAACCCAAGCCACCCACCTAACTTAAAGCTACCGCAGCATAGAAAACGTGTTCTGTTGCGAGCTTCTACTTTTCATTGTATATTGTAATTTGAACGTTGTGGAACGTAACGTATAAAATGAGACGCGCTAGTGGAGAAGTCGCGCCGTCCAGTGGACCTCATGTGCTCTCCTGTCTCTTGAACTATTTGATAGTTACTTAGTAATCTGTTATCACGGTGATATATATTATAATTGTCATCATTACCCACAAGATGTTACGTGAGTGGTGGTGGTGACTGGTGAGTGTGGGCATGAGTGGTGGAGGTGGCTGGTGAGTGTGGGCATGAGTGGTGGAGGTGGCTGGTGAGTGTGGGCATGAGTGGTGGAGACTGGTGAGTGGTGAGTGGTGAGGAGAACAACCAACAAAGATAACAAGACACACTGGCCAAGGTGAACTTATCATGATCATCAAGTTGAAGGTTGTCAGTATTATCTCTGATAATCTCAGAGACGTGTGTGAGGAGACAAGAGGCGTGTGTGAGACATGTATGAGGAGGAGTATCTCATGCCCAATACTGTCACCTCTCATTACTGGGCATTAGCGGAGGCCCCTGATGCTTGGGTTGGGCATCAACTCCTCCTGGGCGCGGTTCATGTTCAGCAAGTTGTGAGTTTGTTCACCTCCGGCTTACTCATGCTCCTTAGCCATCCTGGACCAGATTTTTTTCCCTTCCTCTTCTCGCCACAGTTTACAGTCCGCCATCTGGCTCAATATCTTTCTCAAAACTTATTTTTATTGGGTCTTCCTCCCAGGCGCCAGGTTGGGGAGCTTCAGGGTCTTTCCCGGAGGCAAGGGTTGTGTTCCCTGGGCCCTGATGGCTGGTATGTTTGCAGAAGTCTTGTTTTCTAGTAAACAGAGTCGGCCAGCATTCCGAGGAGAGTCCGTTAGTGCTTTGGGCTTTGTTATTCGGACCTGAGGCGGCCAGGTTTTGGCTCCGGTCCCCAGTAGGCCAGACAGGACCAATATGTATTGTGCAAGCTCAGTGAGATAGCCTCATGGAAACAGGAGTTTTATTACATTCAACGCTGCATTTATTATTAATAAAGTATACCAATGCATCCAACACGATGCTGTATTAATATTCAAGTGAATTATGAGTTGTTCAATAAAGTTGGTTTCTATATATATATATATATATATATATTGCTATGTGTTATAGTTTGTTTATTATTATCAATATACGGCCGGCCTCATGGTCAATGAATCTGATTAGATATAAACTTTTGAGAAGATGTGATTGTTTATGACTTAGGAAGCATCAAAGACCCTTATCTCAGAAAATGGTTGTTGAGCTTCTGCTCAGATAAGTCCCTCACTGTGACGTTGTTTCTTGGACCAGATGATCAGATTGCAATGTTGCTTTAGTGTATAATGCTGACGTTAATGGCACTGTCAGCCTTCCTGCTG